GGTTTACTAGAGGAAAGAGCAGCTGTGTTAATGAGTGACATGAATCCCGGGTTTGTCCCATATGGAATGTTTGGTAAGAGCATACTGTCTGCAATTTACCTTTGAATGAATAGGGGGAAGAAAGGAATTGCTGAGCAAATATAAATAAGAAAAGGATGTGCTTATGTTTACTTGTCAGCATATAAAATGAAGGCTGAGCATTACTCACTGCCATCTAAGACCATTTCTAACGTCTGCAGTTCAAGATGACTGCCTGATATGTTATTGTAAGTTGTTTTAATTCACTGAGTGAAGAGAGGTTTTAACTCAACAACTATTTGGTCCATTTATTTCTTCAGCTATAGTCACTTGCTCAGAGAGGTCTTCTCTCTACCCACTACAGTTTTATTATACTTATAAAATGTAAATTTCATTTACTAAGGGCCTAGAATGGAGTCTAAACCTGTTAGAGATACAGCGAACTTGGAAAATGGACGCGCAGGCAGAAGCATCAGTAAGGGACGGGCTACTGTTCCCCTCCACGTGGGCGACTGCTGTTAAGCACTGGCCGGCTGTCCACACTGTGAGAATGCTGCTTCGTTCTCTTTCCTCTCTGAGCCATCGCAGGTGCACCTGTCACAACTGGGCTGTGTGCAGTGTTCCACACAGGGACACCTGCCCTGCTGCTTTCTATGAGAATCAGCAGGCCAGAGCACCAACTGAGACTGGAAAGCACATCTGCCTCATTTGGATCAAGTCTGAACAGTGAATGTTACCAGGAGATGCTCCACTTTGGGGTGACTGCTTGAGATGGGACTTTTTTCATCCACGAGCACTTCTGTTTACCTTGACCCTGGATGTGTAGCTCAGTTTACAAATCAAGTGTGTGCGCTCTCACGTGCTGTATGCCTGGAATGCTAAGGAAGGGCACCTGTATTTCAAGGCTGGGGGTTAATTTGTATAATTTATTCCTGTGCAGTTTTACAACCACGATGCAGACTTCCATTTCTCTCAACCTTCTGGATTTAATTTGAATAGCAACGACCAGTGCTGAGGAGGGCACCGTGTTTGATGCCTTGTCTTTTGATTCTTTTCTTAGTAGGTGAAGCTTTCTTACTCCTGCCTGTCCTTGAGATACATGTCAGGGGAGGAGGAACTCATACATTCCACTGAGTTTATAGTCAACAAATGCTTATCCTGAGGACTAGAGCTGGTGTTGAAAAGTTTCTCATTCAAGGACTTAACTCTAAGAAGCAAGTTCTCCTCCAAAGTCCTTGTCATTTTCCAGCGCCCCCTGTAGCTGCTCCACAGCTTGTAGGTACAGCCACGGCTTCTGTGGCTGCACGTATTGGTCTACGCCTCTGAACTGGCTGAGGCATCAGAGGAGGAGCAGTCTCCTGGTGATCGAGGCTGGCTTATTCGAAGTGTGTTTACTCTCCTCCTCAGCTTACTCAGATTCATGCTGATTTTGATTAGCCAGTGATCTGACAGGTTGCCCTTGGTGTTTTCTTCCTATGTACCATGCTTATCTTGCTGTCACAGATCACCTTAAGAACTCCCAGCTCCAGTTTTGCATTTGTCCTCGAGTCCAGATAAGGGTCTTGCCTCTGAGCTGCTCTGAATCCCGAGTTCTGTAGGTGTCAGAGGGCTCCAGGGTGGGTATCACTTAAAACCCGTGCCCACAGTCTGAGGATGTGTCCCCATCCCCAGTGCCCACCCTTTCCAGGCTGGCTTAAGCCTTCAGGTCCCCTAACAAGTTAAGTTTGTCTCCTACAGACCCTGATTACCTTGGTAACGGACTTTTAAGGATGGAACTTGCACCAAGTTTAGGATCTTACAAAGGCAAAAGAAGGAAACAAGCAAGTTTAAATTAATATTGGATGGGAAATGCAGCTGTCCTGCGATCTGGTTCCACCTGGACAAGGCGGGTTATATTCTTGGTTCTATTTATTGGTAGCCTATTTTCTGTTATTGCTGTCATGCTATGTTATCTTTTCCTCTGAAGAATTTTATTAAAATACACTCTAGTTTATCTTGGACAACAACTTCTGTTTCATGATGTAGTCTGTTTGATGCTGGAGGAATACATTTCTTAGCTGTGGGTTCTCCTCATACCTTGAGGGTTATTTGCAGAGCCAGGAATGTGGCCACATCCTTGGTTTGCTTTTCTTGTAGCAGTGAGCAAGCTCAGCAGACCGATCCCACTCGCTGGGAGAGGCCTGCGTGTGCGGTGGGCACCGGGCTGGGTCAGGGAACATGACTGGTAAATAGTCCCCTGCATTAATACAAATGGTGTTGCCTCGTCCATAAGGGTGGCTCGCTGTACTCAAACTGCTTATACAAATGACTCTGCTCATGGCCAACAGCTGCTTTCTTCAGGGAGCCTGGAGTTCTGGTATGTGCCCGGCAGAGGGCGCTCTGCACAACCAGCCCAAGTGAGAACCATGCAGACCGGGTTGCTAATGGGCTGCCGCAGTCCTTGCTGCACTTTTAGTGCAGCACACAAGGACGGGATGGCTCCTTACAGGAGAGAAAAAGCATAGAGAAGCCCGCTCTCGACTCTCCCTGAGTCCGCCCCACCAGACTCCACCGTGAGCCATATCTTCAGAGCGCTAATAAATCTGAGCCACGAATACAACTCTACTCTATGACCCAGGAGTCCTCCTCTCAGGCCTCCGAAGGAAGCAGTGGTCTCGGGGAACCCTGGGCCTCTTTGTTAGTTGGTAGGAAATTCTAGATGTAGCATGTAAGGGCCTTATCCTCAGACATGCTCACCGGATCCCAAATCTCTTGGTTTCTCCAGGGCCACTGGGCTCTTTCACTTTAGCTTTTCCAGATGCACTAATGTCTACTGGGTCGATGGCTATTCTTTTACTCTCCTAAAGAAGACTGCTCTCCTCTGCTAAACTTTTCCTTTTGTGGCATCATCTCCAGCTTGTTTTATAGTGGAATCCATGCCCATCTAATATCAACAGTCACTGGTGAGCTCTAATCTTACTGGAAAGTCTGACTGAATATTTAGCCAACAAATCTGCAAAGCAGCTGCACCTAAGAATATCGACAACTGGGCCCTCAAAAGTGTGCCCACATATTTAAGAAGTTCTTCGAGTTGGCTAATGTGAGTGACTTTTCCAGGTCTTTTGGATGATGTGAATGAAATAATGTTGACATGATCTTGAATTGTTTTGTTTTGTTCTGAAGCATATTTTTACTGCCTTTTTGACTCAGGGTAACTCTGGGTGGGTGAATTCTTCTGTGTGCAGTTTGAACTGTGCCTCAGTTGGCCAGCAATGCTCTCCTAACTGTTCACGGCATGCAAGCAGCTGAAGGGGTGGACAAAGCAACAATTCTATGAAAGGTTGCACAGCAGAGGACAGGCACTGGGTCAGCGTAACTTTTTGAAGATTAACTTCTTAGAGCAATAACAACAATAGTAACTCTATGAGAATTACTTGGCATAACCAATAGGTCTTGCCATGGAGTGAAGTATACCGTTACTATGGGGTTTATTTATTTTTAAGACAGGGTCTGTTATGTAGTTCAGGCTGGCCTCAAACTCATGACAGTCCTCCTGTCTCAGCCTATCGAGTGCTGGGATTTCAGGCATGTGCCGTGAGGCATTTTTAAATAAGTAATAGAATTTCACAGGTCACTTGGGTATTACTGTATCAGTTCATGCTCTAGGGCACAAAAACTTATTCTATCCCAAGAGTTCAGATTCTTTACAAAGGGGTTAATGTTGGCGGCATGCAGCAGGACTAGCCTTGTACTTATCGCTAATATTAATATTTAAAATATTTCATTAGATCCAAGCACCAAGGGTGGGAACCTGGGATCAAACATTTCCTTGGGCATAGAGCCAGCTCTTTAGAAACTTCTAATGCTTTCCAACTCAATGTGAGAGATTTCTGACTCTTTTTGTTGGAGTGGTGGAAACAAAATGTTTTTAAGGCCTTTGCATTCAGATATTTTAATTACACTCATGATACTTATCTACCTTGCTAAATAAGGAGACATCATGTAGTTAGATAACACATGAAAAAAAGCACAATTTGAAAGGGAAAAGTGCTCTGAAATTTTGTGGGTAGGGATGGGGGTGAGAGGGAATCACTTTATCTAGAGCCCACTTCTCAGAGCAGCAGTCAGATCTTCCCCTAAGATCTGACTGAAGATTAAAATCTGTGATTCCTGATGTCTGTCTCTTTTCTGAAGTTTTTTTTTTTTTTTTTTATGTACCAGAGATCAAACTCAGGACCTTGAGTTTGTGCAGCAGGCGGTGGCACCACTGAGCTAAATCCCTGGCCCCTGAGGTTGTTTTTAAAGACCAGCTCAGGTCTGGAGCTTTTCATGTAAAGACCACTCAGCTGATTCTGCTATACTAGTTATGCTGCCACCGTGTCTGTAACGGGCTGCAGGGAGATAAAAACTTCAAGTATTTTTAAAGGCAACTCTATGAGTTAAAGTGCATTTTAAAGCGTTCCTCAAAAGCATATAGAAACACAATACAAGAACGAATTTTGGGATAATTCCTAAATGCCAAGAAATACAACCACTGTGTGGACTGAGGTTGGCAGCTTAAACCTCCCACCCTGAAGATTCACCCGCTTGTGCCTGGCCTCACTTACGCACCCTATGGGACAGTCAAATGCATAAGTGGTTGTAGGCAGTAACTGGTACATTACTGTAGTCTCAAATGAACAGGACTACCCATCAGATCGCAGACATTCTAATGGGTAAGTGGTGCTGGTCTCCCTGCACACTCAGAGATGCCCTGGACATCAGACATTGGATATTTTCAACATTCCCTAACCGAGGGAGCAAATCAGAAGTGCTCACACACGTCTGCACCCTTACACACACACACACACACACACACACACACACACACACACATCTGTATCTACCGATAGCTGAGCATACATTTAGGTAGAAAGAGAACTGGTGCAATTTTATAAATAAGCTCAGGGATTTTACAGTACACAGAAGCAGCAGAAGAAAGTGAACGGAAACGTGAAACGCACCATACTCTGGGACCTGTCCTGTGCCTCTCTTGAGCAGCAGCCGCACCCTCCTTCCTCCGGATTTGATGAGTTCTATTGCTCTGGCGTGGGTCATGTCCCTTGTGCTTTCCCCATTGATTTCAATGATTTGATCTCCTACCTGTTAATTAAAGACAAATTAAGTCAGCCAAGGATGGTCTGTACTCAAGTTGCATTTCCAACAGAATTACAAAAAAGAAAAGAAGAAGCAACCCTAGAAAACCAATTTCCTAAGAGAGCTGAGCGGTCCAGTTGCAGTCTACTGCGCTTAGAAGAGGCAAATGCCTGCTTGGCTGCCTCCTGACTTTGACCCCCACACTTTATCTACCTTTATTCGACCATGGTTGTGGCCATCTGCTCCTTATACTTAGCCAATGTGGCAGAGGCTGTAAAGTACTTAGCATTTAAAAACAATCAGAAAATACATCTGATCCCACAATAACCTGGCACCTTTGCTTTAAACCAAGATGCCAATATTTAAGAACACTGAATATATATCACCAGCTTTGGGCTTAGTGCACTAATTAAGCATGCTGGATGGAGTGACTGGTTTCTGCGCATCTCTCAGAATTTTTGTCATGCATCATTTACATTTCCCTGGGTGCTATTGCAATTTTGCCTTCGTTGTAAACAGTGGTTGGTTGCTATTGAAGTTTGATGATGAATTTTCAATCACAGTTCCTTGCATTAAAAATGAGACCCTCTATTCTCTACCCATGACTAATGCCCTTGTTAAATCTTAGCCACGCTTGCACCTGGTTACCAGAAACTAGTTAAATACCAATCCCTCCTGCTTTGCCAAAGATGCCTGGGTCCCACGAGCAATTCCTATTTAGCCTTCGTGAATAGATATTTGGAATAAGAGAGGTTCAACCATGAGCGTGTCATGTAACCCCCACAGTACCATGCTGTCAGGAATCTTTGAGTTAAAATATGTCTCATTCCAGCACAAGTTACTTCAGACAAATCAGCTAAAAAAGCACAGTGAGTTGCTCTGCAAAAATGCTCTTCTACTGGGTCTCTTAAGCAAAGCAGATCTTAAATTCTACAATGCAGACAAAACCGCCGAAAGATGGTGCAGGCGCACAGCGCAGGTTGGCCAAGAACAGGAAGACAGTTGTCACCGCGGTGGCCAGAGAGCCTGGAAAGAAGGCCCCGGAGTTGGGGGAGGAACAAACGCACATTTGCTGTAGCAAGGGTGTGACACCTCTCCAGAGGACTCGAAGGGTCCTTACCTCTTCCAGGACCATAAAGACGTCCCTTCGTGTGCCTGGCGGCCTTTGGAAGCAAGGTTTGGGGGAACGGAAGAGGGAAGAGGACGGCCCCATCGGAATGACTTCCGCACCCCACGGAGGAGCCAGGAAGACTGGACTCAATTTACTTCAGCGCCAGCACCTTTCACAGGCTGTCTCCCACCTTCTGAGGTAAAAGGCGTCAGCTGGAGTTGAGCAGCCAGCCAGAGGCTTGGAATATAAACCAGTGGCAGAAGTGGGACCAGTACGCCGGCAGCACCACCCGGCACTGAAGCGCCGCAGCACGGCATCAATGACAAAGCGGAAAGAAAAGTTCAAGGAATTACAGGGAGAGTCTTCATTCCCGGCTCGACTGTCTTCTGAGCGTCTGGTCATCGCTCCACGGGGCCACTAAGCAGCTTCACCTGGAGGTCCCAAAGGCAACTCCAACTCAGCAGCAGCAGCAGCAGCAGCAGGTGGCGCTTTCCTGCCCTCCTCCTCTTAATTTCTAACCCCGGCTCTTCGCCCAGGTCAGCAGCGTGCGGGTCATGTGGGCTCCCTATTTCCACGGCTGCTCCGCATCCATCCCCACCCTTGTGTGTCCCGTGGCCCATGGCTCAGCCCAGGTCCCGCTGGGGTTGTTCCTACATTCTCTGTGCACTCGCCCTCCAAGCTGTGCTGCTCGCCGGCACCAACGTCGTTCTTGGGAGTCTTTCCGCGTGTGTCAGGCTCACTGAGGCCTCCAGCCCCTTCCGCATGCCACGCTTCCCACTGTCTTCTCTTCCCCAAAGACTGGAGCGCTCCTGACCTTCCTCAAGGTCAGTCCAAGAATCTTCTCACGGGTCCCTTCCTCAGCCCTTTTCAAGGAGTCCGGGAAGCAGAGGCGTCTGTTCTGTCCATTAGCCCTGGCTCCCCACTGGTATTTATCCTGCTTTGTTACAGATTTATGACCCTCTCTTCCCTCCCAGACTGTGTTTTCCTCTGGTAAACACTTTTTGAGTTCCTATTATTTGCCAGAGACTACTAGGGAAGTAGAGACAAATGGTATGATTTCTATTTACGGTAACTTCTCTGTCTAGTTGGGGAAGAGAGTGGGTGAGATTACCATTCGATGTATCTTTGCTTTGACAGACGCCCTTGAAAAGCACCGAGGGAACAGGAGGGGGACCTCGGCTCCAGAAGGCGTGGGGCGGGGAGTCAGGAGAGCTGCTGGGAGCTGGTGGCCTCTCCGCTGAGTTTCAGAATATCAGCAGGAGCTCCCCAGGGGACAAGCACTCCGTAGGAAGCAGCATGTCCAAAGACCCCGAGATTTGCCACTTGGTGGAACTGGGGATCAGTAGTTTCTTGTGCGACTCAGGAGTTTGGGCCTTATTTTGAAGGCAGCAGTAAGGCACTGAAATTTTTAAACAGGAAGTAAGCTGGCCATGGAAGCAAGAGTCTCTTTGTGTTCATTTTCCCTTTTCTGTACAGGGCTCATGAGAATTTCAGAAAGAAAAAGTGGCATGGAAGAGGGGTGGTTTGGAAAACTGGGCGGCAGAGGGCTCAAAGGCAGGGCTGCTGCCCCCTGAGGAATGCGTAGGGACGGGCTGTGCCAAGGGTTGGGATGCTCTTTTCATTGACTTCCCTGGAGCCTGGGTACACTGGTTTGCTTGGTAAGTTTCCCCAACTTCACCTTTCCATGCAGCTCCTCAGAGGCAGAAGAGAACAGATGACAGAAGGGAATCCAGGGTCAGAGCCCTCACCTAAGAGCGTTCAGCCTCTCCTGAGGCCCCTTCCCATTCCAGGAGGCAGGAGGGCAGCCTGCTGACTCTGATATCACTGAGAGCAAAGAAAGTTTGGGAGTGGTGGGAAATACTGCCAAATTCAGAAGCACACCGTCAGCAGGCGGACGTGGTTAGATAAAGGATGGAACGACTCCCGCCGACAGACTCAGTGCTACAGGGTGCTGGGCTTCCACAACAGTGGGACCAGCCTTGACTCTGTGTACTCTTTCCACCACAGAGCCAGCTTCACATGAACTCTGTTACTAATATGAAGCTTTAATGGTTTGCATGTGTTCTTAGAGAATTTTTCAGTTGGGCATGGTGGCACGAGCCTACAATTCCAGCACTCTGGCAGGCAGAGGCAGGAGGATTCCAAGTTTGAGCCTAGCCCAGCAACTTAATGACTTAGTGAGACCCTGTCTCAAAATGAAAAGGTGGAGGGAGAGCTGGAGATGTAGCTCATTGCTGAGGCCCTGGGATCAATCTCAATACAGAAAAAAGAAAATATTACATTCCAGTGAGAACTGAGAGAGATGGAGAGGGGAGGAGGGAGGGAGGGAGGGAGAGAGAGAGAGAGAAAAGAAGGACAAGGACTCAAAACCGTTCAGGAAGGGTGTATAGCTTTCTGTGGGTCAAGGAGATACCAAATTTGGGAAAGTAACCGAAGGACCTAAGAAGAATTCTTATGGAAGACATGCTTTTATCTGTGGCCCCTTGGGGCCCCTAAAACCTTAGAGTAAAGCTGTTTCTCAGGGTGAGGCAGCTGAGCTGACTTCTGTCCCTTGGCAAAGTCTAATAACTCCGCATTTCTATTCATGCATTTCCACTCATACATCACAGCAGATTTCCTTTAACAGAAGTATTACCATATCCTTGAGCTTGCTGGAGGCTCTGCATATAAATACATTTTCTCTTCTTACTGGAAGGCCAAGGTAGGTAAATGGAAATGTTCAGAATTTCTTACGTGATTAATAATTCAGGAGGTGAGAAAAATTTCAAACTTTGTACTGCACACATTTTTGTAGCCAAGTCATGTAGGAAGTGTTTGGTTGGACTCAGTGCAATCTTCTTGTTTGGTTTTTGTTTCTGTGGTGCTGGATCTAACCCAGGACCTCACACATGCAAGGCTAGTGCTCTAACACTTTGCTAAATCACCAACCCTCAATGAATCTTTGTAAGAGTTAGATTACATTGTGGGTTTACTTCAGCCCCAGGTTGTAGTGGTCCAAATTGCTGCTGGCCATCTTCACAAACACGCTTAATCAGATTTTGTCACTTAATTGCCCTTGTGTTAGTTAGCTTTTCAACACTGTGATCAAATACCTGGTAAAAACAGATTAAAGGAGGAAAGCTTTCCTTCAGCTCATGGTGTCAGGGCTTTAGTTCATGGTAGGCTGGCTCCATTGCTGTGGGCCTGAGGACAGGCAGAGCATCATGCTGAAAGATTGTGGTGGAGGAAAGCTGATCACCTCATGGCCTCCAGGAAGCAGAGAGAGGGGAAGGAGCCAGGGAAGAAGGGGCCGGGGACCAGATGGAGTCCTGTGGCTAATGCTTCCACACTTCACTTTCTTCCACTAGGCCCCACATCCGAAGTTTCTGTCTTTCCTAGTAATGCCATCAAATCATGATCTCATCAATAGGTTAATCCACCCATGAATTCAGAGCCTTGGGAATCCAGTATCCTTCCAAAAGCCCCACCTCTGAGCACAGGAGCCACCTGAGGCAACATTTCAGATCTAAACCTCGACAGCCCCATGCCAGCACAGTACCACAAGAAACTGTTTTGCCTGATTATAGATGAGTGAATGACCCCAGACTGTAATTAGATGTGAGGAATTCAGCTTCTTTTGAATATCGTCCAAATAAATAATGGAAATTCTTTGTTCCTTATGTTATGCAGGACTTACTGTGGGCTGGATCGGTGCCTAATGCTCAAGGCCACAGGTTGATGCCATCGCAATCCCTCAATTGGAGGCTGGTTTCTCCCATTGACCCCAGACCCTTCGTAGGCAGGAATACACCCATTGTCCTTGTGTCATCTCTACCTGGCAGGTGCACCCACCGCTACTCATGGCTGCGTCAAAGCATGCTTGGTGTGCTCTGCAGACTACGGTAAACTACTTTAT